CACTCACCTCAGCCTCCCAAAGCGTGGGATTACAGGCTGAGCCACCGAGCCCGGCTTGTGGGGGAGTCTGTGACAGTCAGCCTGGTGGACGCGTTGCCTAAATCCACTGACCCAGTGTTTTCCAGAGTGTTCTACAGGTAACAAAGCAGACAAAAGCAATCAACAAAATCCAACTATAGCCATGCATTTACTGGGAAAATGTAGCATTCGTTATTAGAAAGCATATAACTGGCACACTAACCGATGGTGTTGTATTAGTCACACACAATCTCCTTTTTCAGTATTTTACATTTTTTCACATACGTAAACCACACAAACTCATGTAAAGGAAGAGGGTCAGTTAATAGCTGGCACACAGAAATGGTGAAATCCCTGATGTCTGGGGACACCCAGGCCCCTGTGACCTCAGAGACGCAGCCTTGAGGAAGCCTCACGCCTGCCCCGCCCAGCCGGCAGCCCCTGCTGTCCCAGTCCGACCCCAGACAGACCAGCAGGTAAGCTGCCTACCAGGGTCCCGGATATGTGTTTGGCCAGGACCCCGGGATGGCCTGTCTCAGCCTAATGTCATTTGGGTGGAAATGTCTGGATAAAATGGCTCTTAATGTCATTACTCTTCGCGACTAAAGCAATTATGGATTTTGAATTCCATTTCGTTTCTTCTTTTCTTCAAGTAGGCATGTCAGATGGAACGGGCTCTGTTGCTTATCGGAGCCTCAGTGCCAATTACCGTCAAATGATTCATTGGTGTCATGCTGGGCCTGCAGGAGATGCGTGTGACGCTGGCCTGTCTTCCTCCGCACCAGGGGCCTGCTTCAGGGATGGCCCCAGGTTCGCCTGCAAGGACAGTAAAATGCCAGACAGGGTGCAAATGGCCCAGCCTGGTGGTGTGTGCCTGTAACTCCAGCATTTTGGGAGGCTGAGGACGGAGGATCGCTTGAGACCAGGAGTTTGAGACTATCTGGGTAACATAACAAGACCCCATCTCTATTAAAAAAAATGCAAAAATTAACCAGGAGTGGTGGCTCGTGCCTGTAGCCCCAGTCACTTGGGAGGCTGAGGCAGGAAGACTGCTTGAGCCCAGGGGTTGAAGGCTGCAGTCAGCTATGATTGCACCAGTGCCTTCCAGCCTGGACCACAGAGCAAGATCCTGTCTCAAAATAAAAGAGAGTACAGATATGTTTGGGAGGGGCTTTGGGGACAGCAAGGAAGCAGTCTTGCTTGCAGCTCTGGCACATAGGTCTCAAGCTCACCTGTGTCACACCTGCCTCTTGGCAAGCCCGGGCTGTGGAACCGGGTTCACTCACTCCTTCTGTTCTGC